TAAATTATCTTCCCAATACGAGTCACGCACTAGGCGAGGAGAAAACCATCCACAAAGGCCACCAGCTTGGTATAGCTGGCCCGATCATCGTCTTCCAATTGGTGAGGAGTGGCTATATACTCATCAGTCGAGCAAGTGAAATGGGCCCCACTCTAGCAGAAGGGAAACTGGAATAGTCTCCGAGGAACTATCTTGTCGTCCTCATCTATCAAATCCTCATCATTCTCATTCGTAGAGACTTCCCAAACGAAGGTCGAGTCGGTAGCCTTCTCCGACACAGGCTCGATCACGTAGAACCTTTCCTTGAAGGTCTGGATAGACTCAAAGAAGGGTTTGAGCTGTTTCCTCCCCTGCTTCAGAGAGACCCAACCAAATTCCCCCCCTCCCCCGACACCTGTCGCTAGAAGTGGAAGATGGTGAAGAAAAGCGGAAGAGTGACCCCAATCTTCAAATATTCGCACACTAACTTGTATGTTCGCATGAAGGCAATCGAATTCGGATGCAGCTGGGAAGACGCTAGGTCCAAGTGTACAAAGACTGCCTGTTGTAAATTTGTGAAATGCAACCTCAACCCTATCTCCTTGAAGACGTACTCGTACATGGGAAACCTTTCCCCGTACGACGAGCATATGTGATCATCCTCCGTAGGGAAGTAGACCCTCCATTCTCCCTCGGCACCCAAATTGGTGAAAACGTCCCCGGTATAGGAGGAAAAGAGTGAGGCGTGCTCCATCGGTTCAGCCACATACCACTTTTCAACAGAGGTCCTCGCAGCGAACACTCCTTCAGCATCAGAAGGCGTGAAAATATCATCAGTTTTAGTTTCCTATGAGGAGATCTCCTCGAACAGATCTCTAAGAGGCTCCTTTTCGGCCCTGTGCGACATTTCCTTTACCTGAAACATAGAGGAAAAAACTGAATTTGATGACGAAATTAAATCCACCCTTCCACTGCTAGTCAAGTAAAAGGGAGCGCGAAGGGCCAAGGACAACATCCCCGACCTAAGCCCTACCCAAATGACATAACTAACAAATGAGGAAATGCCCGAGAGATCTCCCTGATACGTCCGGGGAAAATTCCCCCGTACATAAAACCCAAAACCTTCAAGAGGAAACCACCGGAAAGCTCATAAGCACACCAAAATTCGTGGTTTCCTCCGGCGACGAACGCCACTATGTTGCTATGATACCAGGATCAACTAAAAGCTTACAAGTTTCTAAGTCCTAAATTCTTGACAGTCACTATGGTGCCGGCAGCAGAAAAGTGGCCAAACCACCGTCTGCCACCAATAACCACCAGAGAACGCCCTAAAACTACTTCATAACAACCCTAACTGCATGCAATCTATGGTACAGAAACTAGCAAAACAAATAACAAGCAAGGAATCAACATACTTACGTGGTCGGGGACAAAGTTTTTGGGTTTAAATGGCTCTGGCTAGTGCTTGTATGGTGGTCAGGCGGAGCTTGACAGCGGCAGACGGCAGGAAGCAGAGAACAGAAGACGAAGGAAGAAAGATAAGCGAAAAGTGCAAATGAGCGGACTATCCCTCTGTTTATAGGCAATTCCAGGCATGTGCACGAGCACGTGCGGCTAGGGGTATCACCATGAACCTAGCTTAGCCATCATTGCACATTAAATGCAGCACACGACTCGAGGCACACATGACGCTCCCACTCTCCAGATCCTATTAACCGTTGGTCTCCCCGTACCTCAAGCTCCCCGACAAACAGCGTGACAGATACCCGAGCACATATTCCTTCGAGCGCAAGGTGACAGCCCCATCTCTGCGGCTAGCGACGACCTTGCCCGGGAAGCAGACTACTCTTAAGTCGTCGCTCCATGCTCGAGAACAACGACTTAAGGGGCTACTGTTTCAGACTGACCCAATGTCTATGCATGACCCAATCCACTTCTACTCCCAAAACAACCCAATTGCCTAAGTCCACCTAGTTTGGGGGGAGCATTTACCTTTCTGCCCCTCCAACAGAAGAGGCTGACCAATTTACCCTTGGTCACATCGCTTTTCCTCGGCAATTCTTGCCCGTCACGCGCAGTTCCACCATATAGAAATCGCCAAGACGCCTGTGCCCGTAACTGCGCCCCTGCCCGTAGCAACGACTAGTTTTGGCACTTCTGCCCGTTCCAATGGCTAGTTCTTTGCAGTTACCTATTCTTCGGGAAACGGTTATCTCGTCCCGAAAATAGGGACCAATGGCTAAGCGCTGGGGGCACTGTAAAAACCCTCTATTTTGAGAGGGTCAGGTATTCAATATTCACTCCGATATACTCATATTCTGTATTTGCTCTCTTGCCCAATTCTTACTTTAGCATCAGAGTGCCTTGTAGGTACACCCCCTCATCCTCTCTCACTTCCAGCATCGCCGACGTTTGTCTCTGACCCACTTCAGGTTCTGATCAGCTGTCAAGATCAAATACTATAATATATTTTAAAATACAATACATGTCTAAATTGTATAAAATAATACTCGAATATTTAACATAAGAGAAACTAATAGAATAGAGAAATATTATATTTAAAAGAGAGAAATTGAATAGAATAAAGATAAGATGTAGTGAGGTGAGAAAAATCAATGTATTATTTTGGAGTAAGACAATATAAGTATTAATACAAATTTTAAAACTTATAGCGATGTGGGTCTAATGGACTACCCACGATTCATATGGGCTAATTTTAATGGGTAGATGGAGGAATTAACCCGTCATCCTCTCACTTATACCTGACACCTCATCAATTATGGCGAAATTCCATTTTCCCCTTTAAATTTTTTCGAAAATTATGAAATTTATATGGGTATACCGGAATTTTCGTGATATATATCGAAAATTTCAAAATTTCCGGTAAAAAATAAAAAAATTATAGAAAAAATGATCAGAAATTTAATTTTTTTTACCGAAAATTTCAAAATTTTCAGAATTTTTTTTACACTACCTACCATTGGTGGTAGTGTCAAAAAAATTTTGAAAATTCTAATGCAGTACCATCAATTTCGAAATTTTCAAAAATTTTCACACATCGCCAGAAATTTTCGGTATTGTAAAATTTTTCAAGGGCAATTTTGGAATTTGAAAGTTTGGGGATGTCAGGTATAATTTAGGGGGTGACATGTTAAATTCTCGGGTAGATGACTTTTTAGAGCTGGATTAAAAAAATCTTAAAAAATATGAGCTCTAATTTTAAGACCCGAGCCCTATGATTTTTCCGGTCTAACGGACCAATCCATATGAACTAGTCCATTATGACAGATCTAAATACGGGATATGAAAGCTATTATTATGAATAAATATTTTAATGGTCAAATATTTTCTTTAATGAATAGTAATATACATTTAATTTTAAATAATATTATTTAATAAATAAAGAAACAATTATTTTATTAAAAAGTCTTACACATGTAGTGCTAAGTATAAAATTTTAAATGCATATTTATGAATGAATGATACTCAAAGCATGGGGTGTGTGTGTATATATATATATATATATATATATATATATATATATATATATATATATATATATATATATATATATATATATATATATATATATATATATATATATATATATATATATATATATATATATATATATATATATATATATATATATATATATATATATATATATATATATATATATATATATATATATATGATTTTATATAAATAAATCAACAATAATGCAATTTTTTTTAGTATAAAATAATCATGCAATATAAATAAATTAAATAAACTTCAAAATGAATATTAATAGAACAAACATAAAATAAGACCGGTGAAATACATTAAAAATTAAAGATTACAAAGAAATAATGTATTATAATATAAAATTCATAATGAAAAAAATAATATTTATATACGAGAAAATATATTGTTGATCCAAATATTTATATATAAGAAAAAAATTATATTTATGATTCAATTATAAATAAAAATATGTTTTTTTTAAATATTAAATTCTTTTGATTAAACAACTTTGTTTTGTTTTCTTTTTCATTTTTATTATATTTTAAAAACAAATGCGTATAACATATGTACTCGTACGAATGTACTTATATCTATGGATTTAAATGAAACTACCATACCAACACCCGAGCGTAGCCATTGATTTAAAAAAATTATATGAATGAGGAAAATAAATCTACTAATCAAAATAATGAATAATAAAAATTTAGCAATTCAATATATATATGTAATAAAATAGATTGTTGATCAAAATATTTTTAAATGATCTTATTTTAACTAGTGTCCAGACGGGCACTCGCGTGCCCGTATGTCCGCTTTTTTATTGCACACATATAAATATAAATGATATATTTTTATTTAATATTAATTTTAAATGAAAGTTATGTGGAAAGTTATTAGTAGGGAGTTATATGAAAGATGATAGTAGTAGTTCAATGAAAATTATTGTGTAAGTTATATATTTTAAAATAAGGGTAAATTTGGTATAAAAAAAAGTTACACCAAGTATTGCCTTTATATAGGTTAATAGATTAATAAATTAATAGATTATAGATTATAGATAAAAGAGAATAAATTTAGTAAATAAAAAATAATGTTAAAACATAAATAATATTTACATATAAAAAAATAATATGATTTAAATATTTTTATATAAAAAAAAATTATAAACACTAATTTATTCTCTTTTAAAATAATAAATTTTTTCTTGCACAATTTAATCTTTTATTTATTTCATTTTTATTATATTGCAAAATAAAGTCTTTGTACAATTTTATCTTTTATTTATAGTTAAGATAAAAATAAAAATAAAAATAAAAATAAAATTTGACACTACAAAATGAAAATACGAACGAAAACATCAGAGTAGAATCTCCGCGTCGTCTTGCCAGCGAGTGTGTGATAGCAGAAACAAACCCTAGAACTAAAATCGACGTAGCAATAACATTTCTACTGAATTTTCTGATTAATTAACCATTTCACGAATCGTATGAAATTGATAAAACTGTAATCAAATGGGTGCGAGTCGAAAGCTTCAAGGAGAGATAGATCGTGTTCTCAAGAAGGTTCAAGAAGGCGTTGAAGTATTTGACAGTATCTGGAACAAGGTCCTTCTAATTTTCCCTAACTCTTTTCGTTTTTCTTGTTTTGATTGTTCTAATTTCTACTAATTCTGAACAAAATAGCGCTATTAATCGCTTTTTATTTGGTGTGATAGGTTTACGACACAGACAATGCAAATCAAAAGGAGAAATTCGAGGCAGACCTCAAAAAGGAAATTAAGAAGCTCCAGAGGTATAGAGATCAAATTAAGACTTGGATTCAATCCAGTGAGATCAAGGATAAGAAGGTATTTGCTCGGAATCGTTGAATAACGCAATTAAAATGCTGAAACTTTTAATTTCCTTTAATTTTATTTGTACCCTAAGGTGTTTTGAACTTAAAATAAGTTAATTGAAACTAGTTTGAATATAAAATTAGTGGATTTCGTTAACTTAATCGTAGTGCTGCTTGATTTGGCTTATGTTGTGTGATGACTTGAATGATACATGTTGGAGTTTAAATCACAGGCTTTGAGTTTGATATATCTTTTTATCCTTGATATAGGTTAGTGCCGCGTATGAGCAAGCTCTGGTAGATGCTCGGAAGTTAATTGAACGAGAAATGGAAAGATTTAAAATATGTGAGAAGGAAACTAAGACCAAAGCATTCTCCAAAGAAGGCTTGGGTCAACAGCCGAAGACAGTGAGTCTTTAAATCGGGAGATGTTACTTTTTTTTTCTTTCATTTTACCGAATTTGCTTTTTTTTTCTCCTTCTGGTGTTCAGTGGTTATCTTTATGTCAGTATTGTGCTGAGGAATTTGTTATCTGTCTGTTTTCTGATAGGATCCGAGAGAGAAGGCTAAATCAGAGACAAGGGATTGGTTAAACAATGTGGTATGGAATCATTTCCTTTGAATAATTTCCAATCTAGCTTGTTGTGTTCAGTATGGCTAGTGTTTGTATGTGCGTATGCTTTTATGTGCAGAGTGCTTGTTTAGCAAAGTAGTTGGCCTTATTTACCTTGTATATAATGTTCATTGCAACACGATATAAGTTGTAGTCTAGTTTGAGACCTTTTTACTCATAACAATGTATAAGTTCATTTGGTTCTTAAGATATGCTTCTCTTACATATTTTTTGTACCAGTTTGAACCTGTTTTCACGGGGATTTTTGTTATGCTGTCCTTGATCTTATAATTTTTAAGTGAGAACATAATGTACATATGTCATGCTTATCATTTGCCTTATGTTCTTCATATTGTCTTTTGAATATGTGAGTAGGTTGGAGAGTTAGAATCTCAGATTGATAATTTTGAAGCTGAGCTTGAAGGCCTTACAGTCAAGAAAGGAAAAAACAGGCCTCCTAGATTGGTATGGAGTACAAGACATATAGTGTACGGGAATGATAATTTTTCCTTTCTCACGGTCATTGACACATTTTGCTTGATTTGTAGACGCATCTAGAGACATCAATTACTCGGCACAAGGCTCATATAAAGAAATGTGAATTAGTTTTGAGACTTCTAGATAACGACGAGTTGAGTCCAGAGCAGGTTAATGATGTGAAAGATTTCTTGGATGACTATGTAGAGCGAAATCAGGTTTGTCTTTTAGAAATCATTATGCTTTGAGAAGTTGGAAACTAAGTAAATGCTAATACATCTGTATGACCTTTATACGTACAGTATTTATTTGTTTATTTATGGGAGTCCTTTAGACTGTATTTGGAGGGAAGATAAAGGAGGGAACATTTTATATTTTAAGTAAAATCTCAGCTGTCCACACATGCAAGTTTTCTAGTATTTCCTTCACTTTTATAATTTTCAAAGTTTTGAAATGGAACATTTCCCCTTACCTCCTCCAGTTTCATCCATTCATATTTCTTTGGGTGGAACTTTCCCCATACCTCATTTCTAAAATCCGCGCACACTTTTCCAGAAGTGTACTTCTGAGTGACATTTTATCCCAAAATATACTTTGGGTCTGTTCAAAATTTAACTCAGAAGTCATGTTGGAGGGTGGAGATAATTCCTCTATTTCTGTCCTCTAAAAAATTAATGACTCGTTTCATACTGATTTTCTATTTCTTTTTCTTATTAATTTTTTCTTTAACAGGAGGATTTTGATGAATTTGATGATGTTGATGAACTATACATTTCATTACCTTTAGATAAGGTTGATACTCTAGAAGATCTTGTTACAATTCCCACTAGTGTTGCAGTTGCAAAGGTATTTGTTTATTCATTGTTGATTGGATGCAAACATGCCCAACTTGCACACACGAATGTACCAATCATATGTTGATTTGTGTTATTGGCTTGGCATACATCATTTAATTTTTGCATATTATTCATTTTTTTGCCTTGAATTTTCCGTATTGGATTGTCTATTTTTCTAGACAATCAGTTCATTGCCTTTAGACGAAGGGAAGATTCTAGAAGATCTTGTTACAATTCCCACTGGTCTTGCAAAGGTATTTGTTTATTCATTATATTTTGGTTGCAAACATGCATAGCTTGCACACAAATACATATCAATCATATGTAGATTTGTGTTATTGGTTTGGCATATATCATTTAATTGACATATTATAACTTTTTCCTTGAAATTCATATAAGATTGTCTATTTTGTTTGGTACTAATATATTATATATCTCTATGAAATTAAGGTAGTCCTCACTGAATTTGTATGATCTGATAAAGTGTTATAAATGGGAGACATGTTTTATCGTACTAGCCGGTTTTGTGAGTCGCATAACAAAATGAGAATGCATTAGTGAGGAAGTTAAAGGATAAGATAGTTAAATCTCGCCTTTGGTGAGAAGGGGGTATTGGAGAACACATTTAGAAGTGTCGGCAAGGAGGATACCCCTGACGAGGGACAGTCCAATAATTAGAAATAGGGAGATATTTAGCAAACCTACTAGCTGAACCATTATGAAGTATTTGGAGTTTAATGCCTTATTATTATACATATGATGATTCATAATAAGATATTACAGCGTCGTTTGATCCATCTAGTTATTTCCACCTGGTGGGAAATGGCTTTGGTGGATAGTGTTATTGTTGTTGTATGCTGGGTTTTTTACTCTAGGCCCTTATTTTTGAAATCCCTTTGTGTTCAAACTATTTTTATGCTGACATATTATATTAATTGAATCATTCTGTAGAATTGGAAGTCATTATTTATTGTGTATTTTCAGGTGGCACCTGGTCTTAGCTTGAAGAGTCCTTTGGCAGCATCAGCATCACAGTCAGCGTCATCACAAACATCTGTATGTATTTCTTGTTTTTATGACCTGAAAATGTTTCTTGACGTGCTGTTATGGAAAATTGTAATTCAGGATGTTTCAGATTTTTTCTTTACGATTCTTTCTATTATGTATTTAAATTTACTCTATGTTCCTGTCAGATATTTCGTTGCATAAATGACATTGAGCTTATCTCCTTTAGTTGTATAATGATGGTAATGGTTATTGGTTCGCAATGATGATTGATAAATAGTGAATTCAAGTCATTCTTTCTAATAGGAAGGCTTTTCCTACTTTGCTTCAAATAGTACTGTAATAGGAGCATGTAACATGAAAGGTTAATATAACTAAGACAGATAAAACACTAACAAATTGTTATTTTAATCCAATTTTTTCAATATCCATCTTACACTCACACTAAATTTAAAAGATTTCTGATGGCATATCGAATAGCACACGTTGAAGATTAATATTATAATTAATGGACTCAAGACTGCAGTCTCACCAAGTGCACTTGGTTGAATAATCATTTACCCGATAATCAGTCAAAGGGAAGAAAAACTGCATTTTCATTAGTTGCTGTTTAAATAGATGGACATCATTGTTGTTCTCCCCTCTAGGTAACTGATTTTTAATCGTTGGAATGCTTCTCTCCAGGAGCAAGCTGATGAGACAGCGTCTCAAGATAGCAATTCTGATATTGTGGCAAAAACTCCACCTCCTAAAAGTGGCGGAATCAGCTCTTCTGCTTCAACACCTACCGGGAATAATGCCACTCCTGCTTTTGTGAATGTTTCTGGTCATAATTTGTCCAGTTCACCGACTGCTGCAGTCCTTCCTGTCTCAAATTCTGTTCGAAATGTTTTGGAGAATGCTAACGTAAATCAGTCAGCCTCTACAAAGGAAGAAGATATTAATAGCTTCCCTAGCCGTAGGCCATCTCCTTCGCTTTCTGATGCAGCTCTTGTGCGGGGCAGAAACAGCTTGTCAAATCAAGCAACAGCCAGCATCCCTCTTGGTTCCGGAAACATGGTTTCTGGTAATGGAGCCTTTGGTTCACTCCCTTCAGCCTCAGAAATAACTAAGCGAAACATATTGGCAACTGATGATAGACTTGGAAGTAGTGGAATGGTGCAACCTCTTGTATCACCGCTAAGCAATAGGTTGATCTTGCCTCAGGTTGGGAAGGCTAATGATGGAACTGCCTCTGTTGACTCTAGTACTGTTAATGAAGCTGCAGCTGTGTCTGGGAGAGTTTTCTCCCCTTCTGTGGTTCCTGGCATGCAATGGAGACCTGGAAGTCCCTTTCCGAATCAGAATGATGCGGTAAATTTTGTCCTTAAATTTTCTTGTTTTTGCTTTAACTAGACAGATGAACTTTTACATAGGTACCTACAAAAATTAAGTTTTCTATTGTTTCAACAAATTTAAGCTTTCATTTGCCTTTGTTAAAATATAAAAGGTATAATGCATTGATGGGTTTGAATGCTAATCAGAGCACTACAAATAGTTTGGAAAGTAATTTAATATTTAGGTTGAATGAAAGTATCATCCTATGTATTTCATTATCTATGTAAAGTTAATTCCATTGAAGGGATTTGTTCATTTTGAAATTCAGGGGCAGCTTCGTGGAAGAACTGAAATAGCTCCTGATCAAAGGGAAAAGTTTTTGCAGAAGTTTCAGCAAGTGCAACAACAAGGGCCAAGTACCCTTCTTAATATGCCTTCCCTTGTTGCAGGAAATCATAAGCAGTTTTCTTCCCAACAACAAAGTCCACTTTTGCAGCAGGTGCTCTTTGCTTACTTGTTCTTGTACAGTTTTACTTCTATTTGAAATTTCATTATGGCCAAAATGCATCTATGTAGTTCATCATGCTCTTTCTCTCCTCTGTTTCTTCAAAGTAAATATTTTATCCCTGTTCCTAACTATATCTTAAAAAATTCGGTTAAGAAATTAAACTTTCATCTAGGGTCCTAGATATTTTGGTTCTGTTCTAATGATATAAGAGAGTTGCTGTTGTGGTTTTGGCATTGGCTTGTATCCTTGAGTTGTCTGGCCAATATATGCAATCACATTTCCTTCTGATATTGGTATAGTTCCATAATTTTTCAAATGGTTATTTACTCTAAATTCTTGGCGCTTCTTGATAACATTGCAAGTAAAATTGGAAGTAATTTTTTAGTTTCCTTTGCTTCTCTATGAAATCACAGGTAAGCTACGGAACCTATTTATGGAAAAGAAAAAGCCAAGATCTTTTATGATTGCTTTAGAAACAATTTAGAATTTTTGTCATTCAGATTATAATATTAGTTAGTGAATCATTCAATATTGTCTGACATTTCACCCTGTAGTTTCAAGTACTGTTTGAACTCTTCATGGTGATGTGTGACTGGTTTGACAAACTTGTATTGTTAATTGCATGATAAGTATTACTAGTATATACGGTATTTAGGTTCAAACATACCAAAGCTTTAAACCTTAAGGTTTTTACACTTCAGGACCCTTCATTATCCTTCCATTTTCTCTTCGATATAAATTAAACTTTTCTAATTAATAGCTTTCTTTTCTTTGAAATGAAAATATACAACACTATCTCATTACCTAAGAAATATAGGTACAACTATGTTCTAATTCATTTCTGACAGTAGAAAATTATATTTGATGGCATATATCATATACTCTGTTAACTTGGTTCTAATAAACTATTAGTTGGTTACTTTTTTGTAAGAGTAATTACTGATTTGTTAGCGAGTCAAATCACAAAGTTAATAAATAAATACAGCCAATGTGCAATATATCAGTAATGAAAAACAAAAAATACATAATTTTAATTTGTCTAGTAAATATAGTTAATTGATCCCTAAATTGATGTTAAATCTAGGTGTTTCAGTCATTTGAATTTGTCAATTGGTCCCCAAGTGAAAAATACGGTCATCAATGACACCTCAGCGAAAATTCAACTGGGATCAATTAGAAAATTATTTGAACTTGCAGTGTGTCAAATTGAAAGGATTTGGAATTACTGGGACCACAATTCAAGTGACTCCTATTTGCTGGGACCAATTGCATGATTAAGCGTAAATTATTTCAATATTTTGTATGACATGCCACAATATGTGCAGTTCAACTCTCAAGGCTCATCCGTTTCTTCACAATCTAGTATGGGAATTGGAGCCCAATCCCCGAGTCTCGGTGGTATTTCTTCTGTCTCGCTACAGCAGCCCAGCTCCTTACATTCCCCGTCTAGTCAACAAGCAATTCCAGGTGCTGCTAAAGATGCAGGTCTCTCTTGCGTTGCTCTAATATATCCTAGATGATGTTTTGCTTTATAACTTTTCCTCTTTGGACCATTTTCCTTTCCTTTTCTCATTTTGAAAAGGGCATAGTAGTATGATTTTGTCTAGGCAGTTCCCAACTCTCCACACCTACATTATTCTTCTCTGATTGTTTAGCAAGCTGTATATAATAAATATTTTTTTTCCTGTATTTCCTTTGTTTTCCAAAAAGAGAATATTAGAATATTTATCATGCCGAGAAATCAAGTGATGTTTTTGTGAAAAAATCTCGCTGTTTGTTCCTTCATGGTACTTTGTGTTTAAAGAGTCTCTATTTTGACTTCCCCTCTAAATGAATAAATAAATACTCGAAATGTCAATATCATGTCATGAAGTGCTTGTTTTCTATGAAGTCATTGAGGTCCAGTAAGTCAATCAGGAATAAGATTTCTCGTAGTTGGCGTGAGTCAAGTTTAAAAATTACTTCAATGATAATTGAATCATCTCAAGTTCAATGTGTGAACGATACATCTTTCGCAAGAGTACAATAACTGTTTATATTTTTAATCTATGATTGGCATTATTACGAGAGATGGGTTATATTTCATGTTTTGAACTGTGCAGATAAAATTGAAGAACAGCAACATCAGAGTTTTCCTGACGAGTCAACAACTGAATCTACTAGCACAGGGATTGGCAAGAATCTCATAGTTGAAGATGATTTGAAATCAGCATATGTTGTAGATTCATCTGTATGCCGATTAACTTGTGATCTCTTTATATTTTAAGATCTATCTTACCCCCTTGATGACATGCAGTAGCACATATTAATGTTTTTTTCTAAGAATGTCTTTAGAATAATTTTTTGATCCTTGTGCACATGTAGAGAAATATACATTTAGTCTTGTATGCATTTTGTTTGATCTGTGTGCACATGTAGAGATATATGCATTTTGTTTGATCCGTGTGCACACCCTTCGCCACTTTCAATAACAACACTGATATTGATTGACTATTTGTTGTTTATGCTACAGGTAGGTGTATCTGCCTCTCTTCCAGAAGCTGCTCAAATTTCCAGAGATATTGATTTGTCTCCTGGTCAACCTTTACAATCAAATCAATCTGCTGGCCACCTTGGTGTCATTGGAAGAAGAAATGGTGTTGACCTTGGAGCCATTGGTGATAGCTTTAGTGCATCAAGTGTTAATGCTGGTGGAGTGCGCGATCAACTATATAATTTACAAATGCTTGAGGCGGCACATTTTAAAGTTCCACTAGCTAAAGACTCAGAACGTCCTAGAACCTATACTCCTGTATGGATTTTGGTTTATTTATTAAATAATTTATTATATGGTTGCCCTTACCATTAATTTTAATTTCCATTTTGTTGTGGTTATGTAGAGGCATCCAGCAATTACACCTCCTAGCTATCCACAAGTACAAGCGCCTATAGTTAACAACCCTGCCTTTTGGGAGAGATTAGGTCTTGAGGCATATGGCACCGACACCCTGTTCTTTGCATTTTATTATCAACAGGTACCTGACCGTGCTATGTGATTAATATTATTGTTATTCAGTCATGTGTACTTATATTCATTTTTTCCGCATAGAACACATACCAACAATATTTGGCTGCAAAGGAGCTAAAGAAGCAGTCTTGGAGATACCACCGAAAGTATAATACATGGTTTCAGCGGCATGAAGAGCCCAAAGTTGCTACGGATGATTTTGAGCAGGGAACATATGTGTATTTTGATTTTCATATTGCAAATGATGACCTGCAACATGGATGGTATGTTGAGCAAACATTGTTATTTTTATTTTCAGCCTAATTTTAGTGTTTATTTGATATGATACTTGGCTGATTTTATACTTTTTCCCTTCTCTATAACTTGGTGTGATGATGATTCAGGTGTCAAAGAATCAAGACTGAATTCACTTTTGAGTATAATTATCTTGAAGACGAGCTTCTTGTATAGACGACCCAATATGGTGACAAGACATCTTCTTGGCTGTTGTATTTCTGTGTAAGTTTTATGAATATTTTTCTACCAGATTGACAAGTTATTTTTCTTTTAAAAGACTTGTCAAATCAGATGAAATTAAATGCATAGGAGAAAAATATTCTATAATTGAATACTGGTTAGGACAAGTTTTGGGAAAAAAGTTCGAAAGTTGTTTAGTACAAAATGTTGTTTTCTTAAATTCAGATGATTTTATGTAGTTTGTAATTTGTCATTTTATAGATCTTGGCCCTTCAGTTTAATTTTAAAACTGGTAGTAACTTGTATAATCCGGTAAATGAATGGATTTTTTTCCATGGTGTTAGACACAGCGGCAGTTTGGGGGCATGTTTTTGCCACATAGGTATTGATTTTGAGAACACATTATGCTTATTCGTATATGAACTGGTTTGGTATCACATATTAGAAATGATTCATGGTAATTTATAAAAAAAGAGAGATGATTCAGAGTAAGGCATTTACAACACGTTTGATCCATTTATCTGATTCCACTCTGGACAAAGGGTGTGGTTATTGAAAGTGACAATGCTTGTTGTAATTGAAGGGTTGTATAGCTTGATTTTTATTGTTGAAGCATATTTCTTCATATGTCGTTTCTGTGTAAATCTGAAGTCTACAATTATATTTATTTCTAGGAATATTAAACATTCAAATAGTCCGAAAGTAAACTGATTTCCCATTTGTCACACATTTAGTGTAAGATGCTTTTCAAAAACTGAGGGGGATAAATTTTTTCTTTTAGAGATAACTCCTAAGTGATCTTCTGTGTCTGAATGGCTCATTTTGGGACTTCCAAGCCACACTGTTTGCCATTGTCATGCTAATTTTCAATTAATTGATACAAGTCTTTCTTATCACAAGCATTGGTAGCGAGCTTGACAAAAACTCTTGATGGTTTTTAATCATAGTCAACCCTTTGGTGGTTTTTAATCATAGTCAGTCCTCCTGTCTTTGCAGGTATTGCGAAATATGTTTGGGTTGAATGACAATTGTAACAAGCAGGGCTCGTCAGGCTTTGCTGGGACAGTCTCTTGCTACTTGAATTTTCTGTGTTAATTGTCCTAGTTTGGTAATTTCTTATGTCAAAGGAGTTAAACTATGGATGAATTTCCTCTTAACCTGTTCCTGTTTGAGCACTGGTTGGCCCAATCAGCTTGTTTAGGAATGCCGGTAGGAAACAACATAAGATCCTGAAGGTGTACTTGTATAGCATGTAACAAGATTTCTTAATATTTATGTTTTTATTAGATTAAATGTTTCATGTGCTTGATATGAAAGGCTTTTCACGCCTTATAGACTAGTGTTTATTTTGTGTTTCTTTAATGTCGATTGATTCTTGTGCTTGTTTTGACAATTCATACACCTGAAGAAAGGATCGCCTGGCTCAAATGCAGAGTTTTAAACAGAATCTAATAACCTGGTTGATACATATAGGACTATAACATCGGTTTCTAGTTCATGCCATGCAAAGTTTCAAGCATAACCTTATGATCTGGTGGATATGTTATGATTACACATTAGTTTCTAGTAATGCTTGTAGCCATGTATCTGTAGTTTTAGTTCCTTTGGTGGTTTAGTTCTAGACAAGAACGTTCTTGCCACCAAAACTTCATGACTGATACTTGATAGAGCAGCTTACCTGAAACGTGATTTATAATTGATACTATAAGTATAGAGAACTCTATTCACCTATTTAGAGCATTCACAATGGTTTGGTGTTTCACCTTGGAAATACTATTGTTCAAATAATTTCAGTGCTTATAGAGAAATTGACAACAGATTGAAGCACTCCACTCTTTTTATTGAAATAAATAATTTTGTTAAAATATAATTGAAGTCTCTCAATTTGGATTGGACTTAACTCATCCATACAAAATTGACTATAGGGTGAGGATTGTTCTCACTTGTATACATAACACAAATCATATTTTTAAACAATGTGAGATTAAATTTATGTTTTTCAACTCAACACAATAAAGGTGTTGGGGACTGCAATGAAGGCAAGTCAAATGCTACAATAAAGGTGATTAGAGGTGGATTGCAATTAAGGTGAAAATTTCAACACCCTATCACACTTGGACCTGAATGAGGCTGAAGTGTGAATGATGTGAGAAGCTCAACAATGAATCTAGGATAGGTCTGATGGCCGAAGTGTGAATGATGTGAGAAGCTCAACAATGAATCTAGGATAAGTCTGGTGTTGAGGCCAAAGCATGGATGATGTGGGAAGCTCAACAACAGACCTAAGATAGGTTTTGATACCATCTCACAATTTAGATTGGGTCTAACCAATCTTTACAAAAACAGATTATAGTTTTGATACCATCTCACAATTTGGATTTGGTCTAACCAATCTTTACAAAAACATATTGTAGGGTGATGGTGTTGAGGCCGGAGCGTGGATGATGTGGAAAGCTCAACAACATACTTAAGAGAGGTTTTGATACCATCTCACAATTTAGATTAGGTATAACTAATTTTTACAAAAATAGATTGTAGGGTGAGGATTGCTCCGTAGTTATAAACATAATAACATGCCATATCTCTAAACAATGTGGAATTAAATTAACCCTTTTTAATCCAATACAATGAAAGTGTTGAGGATTGCAATGAAGATAATAACATGTCATATCTCTAAACAATGTAAAATTAAATTAACCCTTATGAAATTCATTTAGTAACTAAATTGTGAGGATTGCAATGAAGGTAAGTCAAATGCTGCAATTAAGGTGATTAGGGACAAACAACAATTAAGGTGGAAATTTCACATAAAGTTACTTATGAAATTCATTTAGTAACTATTTTGGAATTGTTGGTGTGAAAAAATTATTTTTTTTAAATGATAAATTAGTACATGCGGTATTGCTTAAGCATCTAAAATATAAAATAGGGAGTTGTAGTGGTAGGGATGCCAACTTGTATCTTCTAATGGGAATCTCAGGGATTGTTTCGCGAGAGGCTTTAGTGATGAGAAATTGGAATCTCCAAAGGGATTGCTTCGCTTGTTGAATGTAAAGGGAAAAAGAGTGTTAGTTAGCTATGATAACTAACTTCAACTGTACATAGTTTAACTGTTAGAAAACAGTTGCCATATCAAACTAGCTAGTGTGATATGATGCAATTTTCTAACTGTTAAGCCACATCACACTTCCTAGTTACTTGCTATATAAGCAATGGAGTAAACTTGTAATTGTTAATTTTGCAAGTAATGAATAATGCATATAACTCCTTTTTTTACATTTAACATGGAAGGTGAACAAAATCCTTCCGAAGACATTTCGGAGATGGGGACATCAAGCATATCCTCTGTTTTGTAGTCTCTCCTCCCGTTTAAAGTTCATAATATTCTTAATTAATATTGTCTCGAAATCTCCCGTTTAAAGTTCATAATATTCTTAATTAATATTGTCTCGAAATCACAGGGGATTGATAGGGGTGGGGATGGGGACAAAATCTTGTAATATGGATTCAAAACAAAGATAAAGAATAAATTTGAGGGAGATGATTAAGATGAAGATTTATCCTCGGTAAAACATAGATACATTGCATATTAAAATGTAATCTATATCTTTGTGTTGAAAGTTTTTAGGTTGAATCTCTTAGTCCTAAGATTGTTAAGGAGGTGATTTGGTTTCCTCCCCTCCCAAACTGGTTCAAGGGAAATTCTGATGGGGCCTCCACAGGTAATATGGCAGTTGTTGGTGGTATTTTTTTTAACAACTATGGTGTTCGCTTTGGGAAGTTTTTTGTGTTTTTCTGGTCAGGGCGACTTTTATTTTTTGCGGAATTTTTGGATGCGATTCTCAATATTCAACATGCTATTGCTTCTCATTAACCTTGCTTTTGACTAAAATCAGTCTCAATATTCGTTATTCATTCTATTTCTAACATGTATTTAGTACCTTGAAATATTAGGAATCATTGGTATAAGTGTCACATGGCAAATAGATATAGTTTTTTTGGCTACCCACATTTATAAGAAAGGTAATGATTGTGCAAATATTTTAGTTAACTTATGTCTTTCTTCTAGGAATTATATTTGGTGGGATAACCTTCCTCCAAATGTAATTAATGATTACACTAGGAACCTTCATGGGTTTTCTAGTTTTAGAATTTCCTATTTTTTAGAATTTCGGTTTAGTTCCTTCATTTTTATTCATCTCATTTCATTTATATTATTTGGGCTAAGTCCCTTTTTGAGAAAAAAAACATTTTGGATGGGATATTTCCTTCTTCACTCACACTTTTTTTCCTTCTTCACCCACACACTTTTTTTGGATAAAAATATTTATGCTGTTGCAGCTAAAAAGTTTATGTCAAATCAAATATTTGTATAGGCCTTCCAAGTGATTATTTTTTTATAATGAATTTCGTATTATTGCAACAAATTATGTTCAATAAAATCGAAAAAAAAACACATACTCGATGGTTCAAATTATGAATAAATTTCGCCTCACTAGCTAAGGAACTCCTATAATGTTAGGGGTTCGTGCTTACATGTAACCTCCTGTGCTGTACCCAAAAAATAAATTCACATTGAGTGTATAAATGTCTTCTAAAGAAAATAAAATAAGTAAATTCACATATCAAAGAGAAGGAACATAGTTGACTGAAGACGTATTTTATCTGGTTAGGTAGAAGAGTTTAAATTGTAATATAGATTATTTATGATCAAAGGTGACATTCAATTATGAAAGTGGTTAATTTAAAATATTGTTTTGTTAAATTAATTTAGGCATGTGTGTTCGATTCTTTCATTTTTTTACTTATTATTTTTAAACAATGAAATTTTAACTATTAAACTACTAATAGTTCATAATATGAATATAACATTTTGACATGACCACAAAAAAGAAATAGTTTTTGATTGTTTTCAACTCATATATATTTGAGACTTTTTTTTATGCTATTCTTATTGATAGACATATGTTATTGGTGGAGTACCGAACTATTCT